ATAAATATTAAGTATAAAGTATATAATAAATCTATTTTGTTTTACTATGGATGTAGTACTTAGACAAGTAACTTCTTCACTAAAATTACTTTACAAAACACCAATGCAAACGTCTTCAGCTCTTTCTGAGGAAGAGTTAAAAGTCTGACACACACAGAGTTCGTAAACGTTTTGCCACCAGGAGAAGCCGATGTGAACAAGCTTACCAGGAATGATGGATGAAGTTCGGTTCTTTTCTCTGTTACACTGTTTGAGTGCAGTTGAATAATCACACTGCTGCGTGTTAGACTGGCTCAGTAACTGAAACAATTAAATTTTAAAAAAAAACAGGTCACTGTACAAAAGCCGTTCATTAGCTGCATTAAACAGAAGGGTGCACATACTGCAGGTTAGCTGTCCCTGTTAATACTAGGCATCTAGTTATCTGGCTAAACTAGTTAGCAAGTCATCAGAATCTTTTCACTGTTTTATCAGTTCAAATGATTCTTGAGCCCTAGGTCCATAAGCATGTCTTTGAAGGAAATGCCACTTTATGTTGTGCCCACATGTAGCCTCCCACTGCTTGTTGCCACCCCAATGTCACTTCCATTTTGCCTGCACAGCTGTTTGGGTAACTTGAAATAGTTTTGGAAAACAATAAAACCCTGTGCAGAAAAATCCGCATTGTTCTACAGATAGTATAGCTCGTGGTGTGATGCAGCTCTAGGTACCCCAGTTATGAGTTTCCTGATTTTCTCTCCAAACATGTGAGAGGAAAATAGGACTGATTTGCAGCGGTCTCGCTGACTTACTGGTTTCAATTAATACAATTCAAACAGTCAATAGTATGAGAAGGAACGACTGTATATATATATATACACACATACAACCCACAATGGTGTATATACACTGCTTAGGCATGAAGTAAGTTTGGAAAGCAGGTTTTCCTAGTTTTTAGGGTTTTTTTCAATTGCTAGTAAAATAAAGCAGATTAATCAGAATGTTCACAAGAATTCAAAAGACTTTTCTGTGATGTTTTGGGCTGGGCACATGTAGCTTTCAGAAGCTGCCTGCTTTGGAAAAACAGTAAAGCAGGGATGTTCCATCAAAATAAATTAGAGCTTTTTTTTTTTCATCTAAACCAGTTCTTCAGTAAAACAAGACTCCACGTTTTTGTTATCACTCTAATAATTTTAGCTTGCAAAAGAAAATGAGATTGAATGAGACATGTCCCTTTCGCGTAATATTTAAGCTCTTGATGATATCATCAGGGTAACAAACTATCTGTATAGAAAACTGTCTTCTACCTTGCTTTGAATCTTGGTCAAGATGTCTGTGATTAACAATGAGGGATTCCTGAAGGGAGTTAGGGTATACAGTAAAGTCCTGAAAATGGATGAAGAACACCTGGAAATCTCTACCTTGCTTTGAATCTTGGTCAAGATGGCTGTGATTAACAATAAGGGATTCCTGAAGGGAGTTAGGGTATAGAGTAAAGTCCTGGAAATGGATGAAGAACACCTGGAAATCGATGAAGAACTGATTGTGTTAAGCTACTGAGCATGGATGAGGTATGTGACAACCTGGCAAAGTGACCATTTGATTAACCAACTCAGCAATGAAACTAGTTTTTAAGGTGTCCTGAAGTGAACTGCCTTCAATAGAATACTAAAAATCACACCCACAGGTCAAAAAGACCCTTGCCCAGGTGAAGACCCTTCACCTGAGCATGCGTAGTTGTAGAAATGATCATGTAATCGTATGTAAATCACTAACCAATCAGTAGTGAGTAGGTGTGTATGGAAAAATACCGATCCATGATTTTTGTGTATAAAAGGAACACTGTAACTTGCTGGTGGTGTGCTTGATTTGTGGACAAGTCCACCAAGCACCCAGGTCTGAATAAACACAATCTCTCTCCTGAGCGTGTGGAATTGGCTTATTGCCCGCCGGGCACAAATCCGCTTTTTGGTCAACACTGAAATTGGAGCTCTATGTGGCTCCTGCAGTTTGCACTGCACACTGTGTTTATATATATTTACACACTCTGTTTGTACATATTATATGTTTTATTCTTTAATCTGTGTAGGAAAGGTGGGATGCTTATTTCTCCACGCACATCACAACTGAGATAAGAGTCTCTACTTTTCCCCAGGAAAAAACTGTGTTATGCTCTCGGATCATTCAAGCCAAGATAGCAGCAACCTGTGAAATCCTTTGGTATGTTGTTCCTATTCTGTTCTGTATTGTTTACTGTCTTGAAGAAATACTAGTTACTGTGCCTGTGTGACCAAAATACTTCAGAAGATAAATATATCAATATTTTTCCTAGCCTCATTATCTACTGACATTACCTACAGGCTTATCCGCTTAAGTTTTTTACTTATGATCCAATAGCTAATTGTAGAAAGAATACACAGTATCTCATGCAGTCCTCCTTAGAATTAAAATCCTTAGAGAGAAAGGTTCTAATAATTCATTTCCTGTTAAATTAGGGAGAACGAAGTCTGTTTTGCCACATAAACTGGAAAACATTTAAGTGAAATTTACTTCTCTGAATCCAAACTCATTTGCAAAGGTAGAATTTTTTGTGTTTCCTCTCTAAGCGACCCAGTGAGAGAGCCAGACTTCCCATTCTCCCCATGAGTCAATGAGCTGTCATCTGGCTGAGTCTGCTCTTTCTCTGGGTGACGCCAAGTCCGGTGCCTGTACCCACTGATCTCCCCACCCACAAGCACTAAAGGGTTCCCTTTTCGCATGCATTTGTTAAGTTCCTCTGAATTTAGACTCAACAGTTAAATTTTAGATAGAGAAAGTTAATGAAAGTTGTGTTGAGATACCTACTTTTAAGTCATTCAAGCTTGCAAGCCTAAAGCTTTTCATATTACCATCCTGGAGAGCTCACCTTGAATTGTTTCTCCAGTCTGGTCTTTCCTGTTGGTCCAGGTATCAGGAGAGCATTAACATAGGCATGAATGTGAGTTTCAAGGACTTCTGTTTCTTTACTGAGTATTGCTTCGACCAATGCATCGTGAATGAAGATGTATTGCTCCTGGGAAAACAAAACCAAACATCTGAGCTTTAATTATTTTCAGATAGCCCTGGACACCTCTAGCTAAGCTGCCACTTCTGACGTCACTGGTATTCCTTCACAGTGTGCTGCCGTAGGGGAGTCTTCTCAAAAGTGATCCTCTACAGTGAAAGCTCTCCCTCCGCAGTGACACGACACAGTTACAAGCACAATTGAACTACACATGCAATATATATATGATATAACACTAAAACCGCACAACCTGTGGCATTTCATGTTCACAGGACAGAGTTAAAAATGCAAGCATAGCCTTGAGTCAAATTTTCAAGTCAGCTTGTTATGCAACTCTCCCTGCCTTTCTAGCAATAAAGTGATCACTCCCAGTTCCTACTGCTACCCTCTATTTCCTCTCTCACATTCTTTGGAACAAGTGCCCATGCTGTTTTTGATTACTTTTTTTTTCTATTGAAAGGCACTGGGGAATCTAACCCCCTGTTCCTGAAACCTGAATTAGACTTCCAAATGCCCTGCTGTTGTCCTTATTGTTTTCTTCTGGTCCTTCACTATTTCATATATGATCTTCAGTTTAAAGCAGCTATAGATAATCTTCTGTCTGAAATAGCTTTTCTTCCTACATTTTATTGCATGATATCAACTGTTCAATCAGGTTCAGTGAAGATCTGAACACCTAACAACAGTGTTTCCTTAAAAAAAAATCTATGACAAAAATGCACGGCCTGCCAAGGAAGTGCTACTGCAGGAAGTATGATTTATACAGACTTTCTCTCTTTTGAGTTCTCCCTAATAAACAGAGAAGAGCCCACAGATAGGTAATTTCTAGTGCATTGCTCTGAGCGAGCCGAGAAGGATGTCTGTATAAAAAACAAGGGAAGCAAAAGGGAAAGTCCAGCCTGGTGACTGGTTCCCAGTCTGTCTGGCGGTGCCAAAAAGACGACTGTATCATTTCTCCTCCTGCAAACAGAAATAGTCTGTAACAGTCTCTCACTATATATTTCAGTCTTACCTCAGTCTGCACCAAGTAGTTCCTTTGGGTACGTATGTGTTTTAAGAATCCAAATATGTTGACTGTCCCTTCATGCTGAATTTGCTGCAGCATGCTGTCTAACACTATGTATGTGCCTGTCCTTCCAACACCAGCACTATAAAACAAAAAAATAGTCTTGAGCCTGAAGTAAAACAATAATGAAAAGAACTGTTTCTTATACATAGCTTTTTCAACAAACTGCTGGGTAGGGAAGGTTTTCCTCTACAAATCGTATTATTATATTACTTTGCTAAAGCTTCAAGGCTGGTAATGAAGAAAAAAATGACTCGTCTTTTTCTCTGCGCAAGAAGAGATCTAAAGATCATTTTCCCAAATGATTTCTAAAGTATCAATTTTTATCAATTTTTGAAGTATCAATTGAAATAGAACTACGGGGTTTCCTGCAGATCTGCAATTTTCAGGCTTCTGATATTCCTTAGGATACTTTTTCAAGTATACCTAGAAAGAGTGGCATATGTCAACATTTGGGCACAGTTAATGTGCCCAAGTTCTTCTACGTTGAAACACAGATCACTTTAAAGGGAAAGCTGTATTATGCCACCCGTTACAGATACAGAAGATTTCAAAGATACTGGACTGAGGAAAACCCCAGAAGTGGCAGAGCTGCTGAAGGGACAGCTGTAAAAGAAAAAGCTTAGTGCTCTCCAGATACAGCTAAGAGGGCAAGCAATGGTTGAACCCCTTCCTAAAAAGGGAAGATGCAGAAGAAAGGGTTAATCAACTCACTCTTGTTACGAACTCTGACTCATTTAGCACAAAACCGGCTGTATCGTAAGACTAAAACACAACTTTTTCTTTCATAAAATATCTGGGTAGGGAGTACAAGGTCAAGAGGTCGTTTTTGTTATCTAGTCATATATGGGAATTAGTCCGTTGCAATTCCCCTCTAAGTTATGAGGAAATGTTATGTGCGTTGGTAGACGTAACTTGACAGCAACACTGTGCTGGGTCTGCATGGTCCCTTACAGGCAACTCCAAGCTCAGTCGGTACATGCTAATTCAGTCATCTCATTTCTTCCACTGAGGTGGCACAAAGCATGGGTAGTTTGATCTCAGATTGCTGTAATAAACTCTCTAAATAAACGTGATATAAAACCGAAAGGGCCAGGTTATCAACAACTAGGCACAAAAAAGTATAAAGATTACCAGACACCATCTGTACTTGTTACAAATACAAAACATGGAAAGTACCAAAACATAAAAATAGCTAAAAAAAGTTTCATGAAGTTCCTCCTATGTGTCCTCCATACAGCCTGTAAAGATAAATGAAAGTTACTTTTCTAACATGATGACTCCTTTGAAATTCCACAGTGCATGGGGACAGGTGAACTAAAAGCCGAACAGAACTGCCTACGGACGGAGGTGAGCTATCCCTGTGACTCAATGGAGAGGTCTGACTGAAGCCACACAACTTACCACTGTTCCCTTTCTAAAAACTCAATTTAATTCAGTTATAATGCATTACTGATCTCTCAGGCCACTGGCATAGATCTCAGACTCCGTATTTTGAGGAAACTCTTATTTTGAACTTCTCAAGAACAGGCAGGATCTAGATAGCAGCAGAACAACCAAAATGCGGAATTTTCATTTTCCAAGCTAAAAACAGATTTCAGTCAGATTAGGTCATCCCAGAAAGAAAATATCTTCATTTGCAGCATTTGTGAGGCGACTTTACCTGTTGGCTTCCTCAGAGTCAGCTCCAGAAGGACAGAATTCATGAGGAGGTTCTCTTTCCAAATGTTCCATCAAAGGTGAGGTACTACAGTGGAAAACCAGAACCTGCTTATATATTTTACAATAATCCGGTCCTTCACGGGCATTGTGAAGTCATTCCAGGCCCTACAAGCCCTTTTTAACCAATTTTCCCTGAGCTGCCCAGTTTTAGCGAGCACTGACAGAACGCCTGCCTGCACACTGCAACACATGCAGACCTCAAACCGTTCCCCAGAATGCTCCTCCATTGCAAACGACTGCTAGCACGCAGAGTAATGTTAAAAACAGCAGAGTTGTAGTTCAGCCAGGAATAGAGTGAGTCTTCTCTTGTGGACAGAGCTCCTCTTAGCATTACAGAGTATCCCTGCACCAAAGAAATCATGAGCCAAAACCATCCTGACCATATATTTGCAGAAAAGAAACAATTACTGCTATATATGTATCTGGTAAGCTCATAGGAATCAGGACAGTAGTATAGAAGTGTGCAAAAAAGGAAAAAGAAAGGCATTTTTGCAAAAAAAAAAGAACATAGTGCAGAGCAGCAGCATCTTGTTTACAGCGATTGTGGAGATTGATAGAAGTGGCAGAGACAGTTGATTAGTTGGCCTTACCGAGGATAAAAATATCAGCTGAGAAATTAATCTTATTCCATCAAGAACTGTTAAATGTGAGAGTGAAATTTTGCTTAACCCACCACTGAAAAATTCTTTTTTCCGCAAAACAAAAGCGGAGGGAACCTTACGGCGGTAAAAACCACACCTGCAATGAACCACAACAGGCCCAACAGCATGGCGCTTGGCGTGCGATGCCTTCCGCACAAAGGTGAGAACGGGCAGCGTGTATTCCGGAACACCCATGTCAGGCCACTGGGTATAATGGTACTGAGTTACTATACGTCCACTAGACCTCCCTTTCTGGGAACCCTGCAACAGAAAAATAATTCCGTATGTAAGCAGCCCACATCTGAACGGCAACTCTTCATAATTTTATTTCTGGACCTGATGGTTCTTGATTCAGTACCGTCCCTATTTAGTTAACAGCATGCCACCTAGCTCCGCATACTCCAGCTTTCAAAGAGAAGAGGAAGGGCCAGCGCTTCTGTCCCATCAGCTTGCCCACTGAATGGAAAAATGACCTGGCACCGTCCCTTAGAAAGCCACAGAGAAAGGTTAAGAGCACTGGAAGGATAACAAATTACAGCTGCTCTTAAGAGTCACCAACTATTTCTATTTGCCACTCTGCTCTTCTGTTGGGTGGACAAGGAGAGTGGGATTCATCTCACCCAGCTTTAGTGATCTAGAAGGAAAGCAGCCTTGTGTAGGCTGCTTTTCTAAGCTCCCTCCCTCAATGGCAACTCAGAGGGAGGGATACCTTCAGAGAGCACGTCATCTCATTCAAAGATTGGTTCCTAAAATTGGCAGGATAAATTCCTTGACAGGAAGTGCTGTACGTTAGGTATTAATTGTACAGGGAGGCTGAGAGGCCAGATGTCTAACATTTGGGCGGCTGAAATGAATTAAGCTTTCAGAATTCCCCTTAAAGCAGCCAATGTCACTCTGCTGAGCTGAGAGCATGCCGATTCTGATTACAATAAACCAAGGTGTAGATTCACCCGTCCTTAAAAAGGAAAGTGGATAATTTAATTCGTAGCACATTTTCTACTAGCTGCTCTTTTTCTGAAAATGTACCCTTCTGCTAACCAGGGCAGGCAAAGTCCACATCAGCTCTCCAATGTGATCGCTGCTTTTTCCCTGATGGTCCTACATCGCACCAGCACTACAGGCCAGTGTCTTCTCAGTTTGTTGATCTGGTAAAATTAACTGAAGCTGACAAGCACCTTGGCTGGCTGAAATGTACAGGATTCAGCTTTATGTATACAACAGAAAAGAGCTGCCAACTGCCTTAATATTCTGAGCAAGTTTTAACACTCCCTTTTGCCCAACTATGTTTTCAGGATGCCACAAACCTTTTTGATCTTGGTGTTTCTAAGACTAAAATTCCTCACAGTGTAATAGGCAAGCACATGAACACTCTTCTGAGTAACCAAGAAGTTCCCATATTCTTCACTACCTTCGGCAGGCCAGTACTGGTCACATTTTCTCTGTTAGAAAGCAAATGAAAAACAGAGAAAAAGAGAAAGAAAACAAAATGTCAAAGTAGCAAGCTGAAATGTTCAAATTTAAGAGCACAGTCAACCACAAAAACATATAGCGACTCTCAATATACCCCATTTATAATAGACATGATCTTCAGTGCAAGAGAACAAGTAATATGTATTTATTTTGTGCTGTAAAGGGAGATGGCTGTGCAAAGATGCGCGTTATTTGGAATACTCAAAAAACCGAGAAGTTTAAATCATACTATCAGAGCTAGGCACTCTAAAATCTACAGAAAATAACAAGGCAGTCTATAGGAATAATAGGAATACATTCAAGTCAGTAGAGTTGTATGTGGTTTTTGGTTGGTTCATAGCATGGGTAGAGTATACTTATATCTGAGCAGCGAGGCTAAGGGTGAGCTTCTGCATGGCCAGAATATATGGTAGAGAGCTGTGATGTCCAGCCTTTTGGTTGGGCAGCCATATAGCCTTCTCTAGGAGTACTAGAAGAGTACGTTTATAGCATGGTATTACAAATGAAGTAGTACTTCCAGGGTGGCCCTTGTCTGCATTTGCTGTGCCTGTATCATCTGATAGATGCATAACTGGTCATATGACAAGACTTACATG